GATTGCTTAGCTACCAGATGCTCCTGAAGGAATCTTGTATACACTAAAGGTGAATCCAGAGCCCTGATCCTTAAAGGGCCAGCACCACATTTCACAACCCCCAGGGATGAAGAGAATGTGGCATTTACAGAGGAATCATGAGCGCCCCTGGACACACGTCACTCCGACCACAGATCAAATTAGCTTCAACAGGCACAGGCTGTTCTGCCGGGTGTGACTGCCATCTGGACAGCTAGGTCAGGTGAGGAAGTGTTGCAGGAGAACTTATTTCACCCAGTAGACACCTAAGTGCAATTCTATTCCACTCTGAGCAATCTCCTGAAAAACTATCGCTTTTAAAGGTGTATGGATCCAGGTCCTCCCCCTCACAGCTTTAGGTGATGGACTTTTAAGGCTGAGATGAAGTACTGTTTTCAGGATGGAATGAATCACAGTTTGGCATTGAAGTGCCAGTTTGATGCCTAGTGGGGGAGTAGGATCTGGCCCTGGGTACATGTAAGCAATACTCACTGCCACAACGCAAGCCCTAGGGCTTGCAGGTGGTGGGCACAGCTCCTTGCAGAGCTTACAAACAAACCCTGAGGCAGGCAAAGAGGCTGTTTTTCAGAAAACCCTTATGAAGGCACATTTTGGTACATCAAAGGAGCCCCAAAGTATCTTCTGCAGCCTCCAAGCAGCTATCAGCAACCAAGCACATCCTGCCCCTCTTCTGAATGCCACGGCTCAGCATTTAGTTCTCCAGAACTGCATTTTGAGCAAAGAGGGGGAAGCACATGTGGGGACAGGGTGGCCCTGAAGCCCAATTCTGTCCTCAGACTTTCATATGGCCTCTATTGGCTTGAGTAGCCCAATTTTTCTGCTGAGAGCTCCCCAGCAGCACTCACAGTCAAACATATCTGCAGGGAGATCATCTGGATAATCATCTCCTTAAGGACAAAGCTGCTCCCACTCCCATTCACTGTGGCCCTGGGGATAGAGGCATCGCCTGTGCCCACCTTACAGGATGTAGGAAAATTTCCTCCTGCTCAGGGATCATGGTGATAGCAAAATGCTTGGAGCAGGAAGTAAACAATGAGGAGCCCGATGTAGAGGCAGGATGCAGCTTTATTTAAGGAACAGAGCTTGAGGTCTGAAGAAATGAAGCTGGCAGGAAGCCTGGGAGAAACCTCCTTTTCTGGGGAGGATGCAACAAAAAACCTTCCCAACAAAGCCCGGGAAGAAGAAACAGCTCCAAGGAACTTCCTGGAGTTGGCATGCTCAGCCCCTGCAGGGAGGGATCAGCAATTCCTTCCACAATCCACCCAAGCCTCAGCGCTCCCAGCTTCTCCAAGTGTAAGGGCCGGCACAGCAGCCCAGGCAGTCAGGTTATTCCCTTGGCACTCTAGAGAAGTTCCCCTGAAGGCTGCTTCTCCTAGGGTAACATTGGAGGCTCCTACGGCTTTGTTCTTGACACAGCCACCATTGCCCGAGTCCAAGCCAGCTGGCGTGGCACTGGGGCTGGTCACCTCTGTCCTTTGGAGGGGTTAGCTAACGGCAACTGTCCTGCCTCTCTGACTTGAAGGAGCCCTAATTCTGTACAAAGCGGAAGCAGCACCCACTTGGCCTACTCTCTTCTGTCCACTGAAGCCACAACCACTTCAGGGCTTAGTTCATTACAGGAGCATCAGTGCTGGTTTGTTAGCATCCTATTTCACTGGCCAAAGAGTTGGGTTTGCCTTGTGCCAGCCTGGATACCTGCTTGTCCAGGAGTCCTAGGCACCGCTCAACAAGATATAAACCACGCAATGAAGAGAAATGGAGCTTGCTCCATAGGTGACAAGTCTGGCTCTCTGGTTTTCCCCTCTCACTGGCAGAGGCTATGGCACATCGGGAAGGTGGGCAGACAGCGTTCAGTTCTTCCATCGGATTTGCTGAAAGAAAAGCAAAATAAAATGCAACTAAGCATCAGTGCTGGTTGCAGCTCAGATCCCTGGGAACATAGCCAAGCACCGTGAAAGAGCACAGGCCCCACACGGAGGCCAGCAAATGACAAGGCAGGTAGGTTTATAAAGTAACACTGCAGTGTGGTTTAATAAAAGTCCAGCATTTCCCTGCAGTGTGGGGAAGCCAAACCCAGCAGCCCTGGGCTAGTAATGGAACCAGCAGCAGAAACAGACTAGAATCAGGAAGTGAAATTGACCAGGCAAAACATCACAGCTCCGAAAGAGTGACATGCAGGGAGTAAAAACAGTAGTGATGGAGTACCAGAGATCATCCTTCTACACAGAACCTCCCAATCTCTCTGGAGGGTGGATCAGAACTCCTCTGGGACAGCTGGAGAAGCCAAGGCATGGACAAAAAGAAGCTTGCCCAAGACAACCTACTGAGCACAGATCCTAACACAGTCATTCCTGACGCACTGTTTCAGGTCAGACAGTGACTTGTTGCAGGCTCAAAATTCAGCACTGGAGGGAAAATAACCCTTCAATTCCAACTGGCCACAAAAGTGTCACTTGGCAGGTTGTGCCCACAGTGGACCATCAGAAAGGAGCTCATCCCTGTAAATCTCCCTGAAAGTGAAAATAACCAGCTCTTTGCAGCAGATTGCCTCTCCTGTTATTTGTGCATCCAATGCCTGGCAGTAAACTCTCTCCACCTAGACCAAGGGTACTCAACCTCTAGCCTACAGGCCAAATGCAGCCCATGGAGCTTTAGCATCCAGCCTGCAGAGCTCCCTCTAGGTTCAGAAATTTGGCGGAGGAGGAGCAGTAGGCATTAAGCTTGGCCATGCTCCCCGCCCCCAAAGAACCGCCTTCCCCCTCTGCCCCCCAAACAGGGCCAAGTCACACCCCCTGCCTGTGGGGCAGGCTTGGGGCTGGGCTGCTCCTCTACCCCTCTCTGTGTGACAGAATGGTGCTCACTACACCTGCCTCAAGTGTCAGATGGGAATCACTGGCCGGATCTGGCCTGTGGACAGATGAGGCAGCTTCCCCCAGCAGGCCAGATCAACAAAGCTGAGCACCACTGACCGAGACTGTTACCTTCCTAGCAGGAAGAGGGGTCAAAATGACAGAGAGATCCCAATGCAAGGCACCAACCAATCTCCTGCCCATCTCAGATGAGGCTCTCAAGAAGGCAGTTCTGCAGGCTGTGTATGATTGTGTGTTCAAGGGAACTGCTTCTTACCGAGTTACTGAGGATGCTGTCAATCTTGTCCTGTTCTGAAGAGCCCCGCTCCACCTTACACCTGTATGCTAGCAGCTGGATGCGATCCTTCAGGTCTCTGTATGTCTAGGAAAACAGCAACACCAGGGCCTGGTGAAGCGGATTCCTTTGTGGAGCTCTATCCCAGTGTTCAGCTCAAGGATTCCAGGCTCCACTCCTTTCCCCTGCCCCTCCACCCCCACATACTGGATCTAGACAGCTAATGCTGGGGAAGACACAAGCCCCAGGGGCTGCTCTAACACCTTGCCTACTTTTGGGAGGGTGATGCAGACACTAGCTACAGGGAAAAGCAAAGCCACAGGAAACGGAGCTGGGCACACAACTGTAAGGAGAGGGGCCTACAGGGAACCCACTGCCACCCATGTGCACCGGGTGAAGGGATGAGATGCCTGTGCACTACCCTCCCCTATGTCCAGCAGGGACTCACGTCAATAACCACATCATGGCACTTGTATTTTGTGGCCAAGTTCAACCTCATGTCCACATCCTCTACCAGGCGCACATACTCCTGCAGCACCTGGGTGGGAAGAGAAGAAGCATCAGCAGAGCTCAGTGCAATGGTACTTGCCTTCCCACCCCAACTCCAGCCTACCAGCCTCTCTATGGGTAGTGAAGGAACCAGGCTGCTTTAAGAGCTGGCCCTACTCTGTGATCCCAGCATAGCAAGTGGATGGGATGAGCCTGCTCAGGACTCCTCAGGGGGCAAAAGGAGCCTCAAACCTTGGGTAAAGGATCCTTCCAATCCATCTACAAGGCAATTCTGCTCCCAGAGATTAACATAATCCTTAGCCCAAGTGCAGGGTGTAGAAACCTACAGCAGGCAGTATTTGTATTGCCTGGGAGAGGGATGACTTGGCTCATTCAGAGGCACTGCATCCTACAATCCAACCCTACAGAACCTGCCACGGCTCCTCTCTGCTAACTCCTTCACAGCCCCCACCTCCACCAAGTTGCTTCCCTGGCAGCTGCTTTGCCCAAGAGGACATCACATGTCTGCAACATCCATGTGCTGGAAGCAGAGCTGGTACAAACAAAAGAAGCTGTGTTTGGAAAAGTCGATCATTGTCTCCAGCTGTGGAAGTCAAGCACCAGCCACTGGGGATCAGTCCCCTTCTCCAAGCTGCTCCTGGTGGATCAGGAAGGAACAAGTACTCCACAGTAACAGATACTGCACAGCTAAGTGACCTCCTGGTTTGGGCCAGTGCTAAAAGTGAGAGGGACACCAGACAGTGGCCCAAAGGTCTGTGCAAAGACGAAGGAGGCAAAGTGGCTGATGCACTCCACAAGAGAAGCCTCTCTCACTCACCTGCACGGGGGCATTGTTCCGCTGCAAGACCTCCACCACCCGATGGAAGCCAATGGGGGCTCTCTTCTTGGTGTAGCCCAGCCAGTTCTGAAACCACAACCTAATCAGCACCAAGCTTTACACGAGGGGTGCCCCCGAGAGAGTGGGAAGTAGGGCCATGAGCTAACAGACCTGGGCAGAGAGCAGGAGAGCCACTAGGACTTCTCCACGCCAGTGAACACATTCCATAGAACTCCAGGGCAGCAAGCTGCCCTTGATGGAAGATGCTGTTTTTCCCTGCCAGATGCTAAAGGTAGGCCCAGCAGCTGGGCTCACAAAGGGCTTGAAGGCAACCACCAGGGAGGCTCCTCTGGCTGAGCTGCCTGGAGCAGCAGTGAAACCTTTTCAGCTGCTTTAAGGAGAGTCATTCTATGAGAAGCTTCTGGCAATTCCCTCTGAAGCTCCCAACCACAGTGAGGCCAGGCAGAACAAGTCACAGTTCTCCTGCTAATTCCAGGGCATGCCAGAGAATTCACAGTATTAAAGCAGGGTACTCAGGAGACAGCAACATCAGCAGAGGATAGGTCATGTCAGGTAGGAAGGAAGATAGACAGTTTGCTACCCTAGAGCCAGAGGGGAAAGGGCCAGGAGACAGCCACTGCTGAGATCTAGCCCCAATGGTCCTCTCCCTCACCTTGGTGGTGAACAAGGCATCTACGTCATGCCAGGCTCGCAGCTTGGCACGTGCAGCGAGGGCCGTCAGCACATACTGTTTATCTGGGATCTGCAAGGCAAAGGCACCAAACGGTATGAACAACAGCAGAGCTCAAGGCTCTGAGGGGAGCGGGTGGGCAGCACATCAGCTACTGAGATGACAAGTCTCATGAATCCCATGCTCAGCTTGGCTGTGCAGCTAATACATTGCAGGGGGGGTGCAGAGGAAGGAAATCAGGGACCCCTACTGGGGCAGCATTACCTAGTTCAGGCTCCCTGCCTGGCCAACCCTTTCCACCATAGCTGGGGGGGAGCAGTCCCTGCTGGCACAGCAGACTGCAGCTGGTAGGGATGTGAATGGATCTCACCTTCCCATGACACAGGAAGCAAGGCAGCACCTCACACAGGGTAAGCAAAGGGCAGAAAGGTGAGGCCAGGGGAGCTCATTCCAGGA